GAAGTGGGGTAGCATTTTGTAGATTACGATCTTGGAAACGAACGACTACGGTCACAGTACCGAACATCCGAAATATGCGTTGTTCGCTACTGGACGACTCCGAGCGAAATCGTTGGACTTCTGATTGATTGACTTACAAAGTTTCCAGACGCATCACCTGCTCTCATAAGTTCCGTAAGTGTAGTAAGCATGTTTTAATCGCGGGACGTGAGGGTAGTCTTCGCCACTGAAAGGGGAGATCCAACGCTGACGTACTCGCCGGCTACCTGGGTTTTCCCCAACCTGGAATCTCCAACTAACCGGGCATCGCCACAGCAAGGAGAAGCTCTAAGCTGCCAGCTGGTTTCTCAACGTGTGTGATAGTGTAGGGCATGTAAGTGTAAGTGAGTAAGGGAGAGAGGGTAGGATAAGGAATAAGAAGGAAATATCGCGCGTGGTCCGTCGCCCGTTTGTTACGAGTACTGCTGCGGCATTCGCCTGGTGTTGATCGGAGAAACCACGGAATACTACCAATGAGACCCACCGGCATCTAGAATTCTCCTCCAGGTAGCACGCTCAAAATTGTCTACGTACATGCAGGTGGTCTTAACATTGTAGATGTGACTCTTCAGGCGTGGGAGTGGAACCGACAGAACCAAACGAAACATAGGTTTTTCGTCCGACATCCGATGATTCCGAACGCCGGCGGTACAGGTCGCTCGAGTTCGCATTTCCATTCACCAACGCGTGTTTGAACGAACCCAGCACATCGGACGAAAACGTTCGACGTCGGTCGACCGAAATTTCGCCCCAAATCAGCTCCACTGTGACAGCCGCCTAAGAGCCTAAGACACTTTCCCCCGATGTGTGCACAATGGTGACGTGTGTGATAGTGTACTGTGGTGTTAAGGATTGCTTTTGCGCCTGATGACTTTTTTCATAGCGTAATCTACAAACATTGTCAAAGTCTTCATCTACAAAATATTGTGCATGTGAGGTAACAGGTAATTTTGTTTTGCTATGTTTCTGAGCATTTGATTCGACAAATTGACAACCTCACACCAAAATTGGATCAGGGCGGAGCTGCTTCGAAGCATCGGCGGCCCGAATTGACCCATTTAATTGATTCGTTTCTCGAATATTTTGCTCGCCCGTTGACCCGTATGGGAGCAGTGTAGGCCGCCGCCGCGGCCCCTCCCCCCTTTCTGCTGGAACTCGGGCGCGGCCGCTCGGAGCACTACCGGCGCGGCGCGGCGCGGCGCGGCGGCGCGGGGTCTTCGCGTCGCGGCCTTCGCTCGCGTGCCGCCCGTGGGCGAACCGGTTCCGCCGGGGCCCCGCCCCGCCCTCGCCCCGCGCCAGGCCGTCTGCTGCGGCCCGCCAGACGCACGCGTGCGCCCGCCGCCAGGGAGGGGTTCCCGAGGGACCCGCGGCCGCTCCCCGGTGAGTGAGTCAGCGCTGCTTGAGGACGGCGCGGGTCAACCGCTTCGGTGATGGCCGAATCTGAGAGCGGTCATCAAGGCGGAACTAACTTGCGTGGGGGAATTACCTGGAGCAAAACGTGCCACACACGTGAAAAGTGTTCCGAATGCAGTTCTTCAGCTGTTTAATACTTTTTTTATTTTATTTTTTTTTTTACTTTTTTGTCTTCATAAGTATAGAAAGCAATGAAATTGTGCTCTAGAAATCTGCGATTTTTCAAAAGACAAAATCTTATTGACGGGCCTTGGTAGCGAAAAGCCGGATGAATCTTGATCCACAATGTAGTTCCTGTATCACGTTAAGTAGAATCCATGTTTTGTGGGTCCTTGATTCCGAAAAATCGATTGACAGACCCAATTTAGCTGAACGATCTCGATACCCTGCGAATTTGAAACGGATATTTTACTTTTTGCGGGTACTTTACATGAAGCAGGGTCGGCGGGAGAGGTGGGTACGGTGAGTAGTACTACCCATAGAAAAATATTTCCCACTTGGCTAAATTTGGGGGAAAAATTCAATTTAACTCATTTATTACCACCATCAAACTGATGGAAAAAAATATTTTTGAAATTGACCAACACCATTATTCAATATCCAAACTTAGCGCGTGATGTGCAGTTGAGACCTCCAGGAATACGTTTATGACGAGCTGCGTGTGTCCCATTGTTCCTAAAAGAACAGATAATGTCCGCTTCGAGGGTTCCGTGGTAAACGAGGGAATGAGAAAACTGATAAATACTCCAGTCACACACGAAAGAGGAGCAGGCTGCAGCCTGCGAGTACATCGGACTTAACTTCGAAAAATGTTAATAAAAACCCAAAAAGTTTTAAAACAGTTGTAGAAGTGATCCTTTCTGTTGCTGGTAAGTAAATATATAGAAACGCATTATTAATGTGTTATATAAATTATTGATTAAAAATATTAAATAAAATTCATATTTTATACCGTTATCATGCCTTTCATTAAGAAAACTTAAATACATACAGTTTATAAGTTTCCTGGCGCTGCCTCAACAAAATTTCAAAATTTTCTCAGAAATGACTTCAAATTTTGTTATTCAATTGAGGGTTAAACTCTTTACAAATGGCGTGGGTGTCATTTCTGGTGAAATCCCTGATGTTTTGAAAATAACAAAAGTTCACCATTTTTTTAGCATCTTTTTACAACTACAATATTGAGGATAGAGATTTTTTTCTCAATGAAACATATTGTTCAGAGATATTTGCAAGTAAGGTCGTGTACAATTTTTCTACAATATGACTAATTTTCACGTTATTTTCCGAGGAATATAAAGACTTTTTGAATTTATTTTCTCACATCAAGTAGAAAACAGACACGACAGTAAAATTTATTGCCGTTCTTTTTTCTACTTCATGTATCACTATGTTCACTAGTGTTTACTATTCTTTTCTCGTGTATTGCTAGTATTGGTGTGCTGTATGGTTAGGAGATATTGCAAGGTTTAAGTGTCACTGATCAAGCATATTTTAGGAATGCCTCAGTTGCCGTATAATTGAAACGTACAATAGACTGAGTTAATCACGCGATACAGTTGTTTCCTCTGGGCGGTTCGTTGACCTTTGGCGCCCCCCGAGACATTCCCTTTGTCTCATTCCAGCTTTGTCAGCATTACACTCTCCATTGTCTTTTTTCCCTTCCTCTTCTTCTTCTTCTTCTCTGTCCGACCGGTCGCGCCAACGGCTGTCTGCACCATCGAACAATCTCCTTTCTGGAACGAGACGTTGCATTCTGGCCCGCAGGAAACCAAACGGCAGCCGCCCCCCCCCCGCCCTGTAAGGCGGCGAAGTTCCTAACTCAGGCGCGAAGGCACAGAGACGTGCATAAATCCTGTTTCGCTGGTTTCGTTTTCGCCGGCTCGGAGCGGCGGGGAGGAGAGGGGGGTGGCGGCACGAGCTGAATCGCCGCCGCCGCAAAGAAGCAGCGAGAATCTTTGGGTAGGCGGCTGGCGTCGAGCCGGGGACCGCGATCCTACAACGGCGACGCCTACGCACTTGGCGAATCAAGTAGAGATCTGCAGGCGTCACCGGCCCGAGACCAAGGCGCTCGACCGTCCGTGGCGGTCGGTTGCAGGCTCCCGGTCGAGACCGCCAGTTAAGGCCCATTCACAATGCAAACGCAAACCTAAGCATAGCGCATAGACATAAACATTAACGTAAGTGATAGGCTGAAGTATTCGCAATGTCTAACATAAACGTAAGCAAAATAAGGGTTTCTGTTAGCTGTGGGACATTTCGGGATTTCGAGGTATCGACTGTGTCCATGACGTCCGCTCGTCTGTCGACTTCGATGCTATTTCAGTACTCGCTTTTGAGTTAAAGTACTGTGATTGGTTCATTTCTTTTATCTTACTTAAGCATAAGCACACAAGCTTGAATCTTGTAAGCTTTTAAGTTAACGTCTTACGTGTTGGATGTAGTTATAACTTTTATGTTAACGCCACGCTTATGTTTATGTTTGCATTGTGAATAGGCCTTTAACCTGCTAACTAATTTAAATTAGTTCTTCCGATTATAATTAATTTATTACAATTAATTGAAAGAGTTTTACTACCTGTCGGGCGGTGGTCGAGCGCCCAGCGACGCTCAGCTGTTCTGCTTATATCAGAGCAAAGATATTACGAGTGTGTAGTTATAAGATCATTGTACCAGAGAGTCGGAAGGCTGTAGGTAGAAATGTCCGTTTGGGTTCTCTTGGGAATAACTTCTCTAATGCAAAGTTCATGTGTCATCTTTTACTAATCAACATGGAAAATTATTCAAGTTTTCTAAATTTAAAGTGATATTTCTTCTTCTACATTTATCATTCACTTGCAAATTATAAACATTTTTTAAGGTCTATTGAAACTATTTTTTTCGTTTGTAGACTGATACTTTACAGGACGATTTCTGTTAAATGTCTAAGCATAGTTACGAATACACGATTGGAGAACAATAGATATTTCCTGCACTCATTTTGTTTCTTCGAAACAGTAACAACTACTTAGCGAAGTATAAGATGTTAGTGTCAAAATGTCTAAAAGCAAATTACTTTTCTTCCTATATGTGATCGCAGTGAACAGGAAACGTTGAGAGCAACGTGTGGTAAAACGTTGACTTGGTAAAAAGATTTGTTCGTTCAATTAAGTCGGACGTTTTCCTACTTTTTCCGAATTTTCTTTTTTAATTTGATTGTACTAATTCATAACTGTTTTATAATCGGCCGCATAAAATTATACATCGCCAGTGAAATCAATTGTAATAAATTCTAAAAAGTATAAATAGTGCTTACAGTTTAACGATGAAACATATGCTTTCTTTTAACAAATCGCATTCGATTGTTTCTCTATGCTGGTCGGGCCATATTCCTCGTGGGTATACTTCCTGGATTAGCAGGATTAAAATTGTACATAGATTTTGTGTTGAGAAGTTGTTTTTAATTAGTAATGTGACTTTATTTTATTTTTAATGGGCGTCCGCCCTTTGTTTTTCTCTTTATCCGCTAACTCATTCATTCGAATTTCATAATTCTCTGATTTCATTAGATACGCTTGTGTTCTCTGGATGTGCCTATTAAAACGAAAGCCTCTTGTCCTGTGCTGGCAGATTCCCGGAAAGTGAGTAGTTAAAGAGAGGTGAAAGGACAACTCTCTCGGCCGCACCTTATTTTCTACAGGTTTCCATTTTTTGTTGTTGTTGTAAACAACAACAACAACAACAACAGGCAAACGCGTCTTAGGGAACGATGTTGGAGCGCTGCATAAACAATGTCAGAATATTCGTGTCCTTATTCTTTTATTACCTTCATTATGAATGTTCCGTAAGCTTTTCATAATCTAAAACGGGGATTCCCAAACTTTGATGTTGATCGACCCCTTCTAAAAGAATTGTTGGTTGCATCGACCCCCTTACGTTATTCTATACTACGAGTACATATAATCACAAAACACAAATAATTCCCCATAATCGTCTAATTTCGTACACCAATATTTTGGTGATAATTGATCAATCTTTCATTTTTGAGTAGCCGAGTTCCTAATCTTAATTTTTGTGCCCAGGTTACAATATGTTGAGTGTTTCTTCTGGCCGCACTGGCTTTTCTCCCGTGCGTATTGTGTGAAGTATTTTCTTTCGTGCAAGAATATCATTGTCAATACGTAGTTATGATTTGTTGAGTTTTCTAAACATCCTAAGCAGTTGCGTGGCCAGGTTCTCGGATGCCCCGGTGCAGAAAATTAAAATGAGGTTATCAGCTATTAACATGAAATTATGAGTTGTAAATATAATTTGTATAAATGTAAGGAGAGAGTGGAGAGTAAAACATGAGATGCAGTTTTTTTTATTCTTCGCCGATATTGGACCGGGGGTTTTGGATGGGGATTTGCTATTGGATTGGAGGTAGTTATTAAGGCCTGAAGACCGTGCGGTGCCCTAGCCTAGTTACGCTGCTAATCCTAATGTTGAATCACGGGTAAATTATCAAGTTTTTTTAGTGTTTTTTGTTGTAATAAATGAGATCTTGATTATACCTTCAATCGCTGGTTCATATTCGGCTTTAGTCTGCCTTGATCGTTATTGACCCCCTTCAGAATTTCATCGACCCCGGGGTGGGGGTCGATACTGTCTCCGCTGGAAACGCCAATTCTAAAATATAGTTATCAGTGAATCACGAGCAGCGAGAGGGATGAGAATTTCCCTTGTCCATAGAATTGAAGAAAATATCATGATCGTTGTTTAGGCATTGATGATAATCATCAAATAATGATGTTGACGATCACGACTAGTTCAATTGTAAAGAAGTTCGAAACAGGATAATGTAGACTTTGCATTCCGTGTTCTCTGAGACTAAGACTGTACACCCCTCACAATGATTTATCTGGTCACGCCATTGTAGACGTACGAAATAGGCATTCTCTTTTAGAATGGATAATTGTTATTATTGATAGTCGCGACATATTCGTTCATCTCAAGCTCACTATTTTCTTCCTTAGTTTCTTTTTTCTTGGCTTCTTGAAACGTAGTGGGCTCCAACAGAGCCCCGCCCAAATTCCAGTTCCGCTTCCTCTTTTCGGGATTCGGATTGGCAGCGCGTGGATTGACGGCACAGCGCGCGTTTCCGGGAATGGCGGCGTTGCCGGGCGCGGCCGGGCGCGGCCGGGCGCGGCCGGGCGAGTCGAAAGCGTCGAAACCGATCGATCCGGGCGCCACGTGTCCGGCCATCGGCCGCTCCTCTTAATGGGGCATTTCACGTATCAGTGGCGAAGGCTATTTTGCTGCGCTACGCTGCGTGGAAAGGGACCACGATCAGTGGTGCCCTACGTTGTGGCTTTTATTGGTGAAATTTGTGTTTTAAGCCTTAATATTTACCAATAAACTGAGTCATCTTTACGGTGTCTACATTAAAAGAATGGGTATCTCGTTAGATTAGATAATCATAGATGTCTTTGATTAAGAAACTCGTTTATTTCTAGATAATCATAGGCGTCATTCATTTAGAAACATTATTTCATCATTCATTATTTCAAAGTGACGGGCATTAGTTTCACAAATGAGCATAATTTTTTCAGTATCATTGAAAACCGCCGAACAGTGCTTGTATAACTTTTATTATCGCGCCTTAACGAATGTAAGAAGAGAAAATATTGTCATGGTGCGCCAGAAAGCGGCGAATTTTCAGAAAATCTCTTAACTGTTGGGCTCTGGTGACGAAAAAGTGGATAAATACTGTTCCTATGTATAGTAAATTATTTCCTCTTACACGTGGTGTAAACAGGGTTTGTGGATCCTTGATACCGAAAAATCGATTGACGGCAAAACGGCTGTCCGGCCCTCCGTCCGACCGTCCGTCTGTGGTCAATGCTAGCGCCTAAAACGCCCCGCCAATTTTGTCCAAAATTAAAATTACCAGATCGATCTGAACAAACGGCTTTGAGAATTCCAAACGAATATTTTGATTTTTGAGGTTAGTTTACATGAAGCTTCAAAAACATTTTGAAAATGTTCTCAAAAATTGCTCCAAATGTTTTTAATGAACTGTGTCCTGACAAAGCGGAAAGGGCGCTTAAGAGCATGGCGCAGGTCTCATGTTCGTTAAAATTCCTGATTTTACGAAAATCGCAAAAATTCAATTTTTTTTGAGGATGGTGCCTCGTTCTACTACACTATTGAATAGATATTTCTCCGTAACGGAATGTTTTCTCTAAAGACAGATCTTAAATAAGGTCATGTTCAAATTTTTCGCCGATATGCGTTTTTGTGTAATTTTGTGCAAAATATAGGCAATCTTTTAAATTTAAACATTTTTCTCAAAAACTACTCCAATTTTTTATTTTAATTTTTCTCTTATATGTGGCAAACATACCATGGTGCTAGTCGCATTATCGGTGAACTCTCCATTTTCGAAAATTTCAAAAAGTTAACATTTCAAAAGTACAAAATTGAAGATAATATACCTTAGACAAAGTCTGTTGTAAAATATCAACTCTTTAATAAAAGGTCATGTACAATTTCTTGAAAAAAAAGAGTAGTTTTCGTAATTTGCGTCTGAAATTTATGAAATATCTAATTTGTTTCTCAAAATCCATTCAAATTTTTTTGCTCAAACTTTTTCCATGGATTTCCATGGCATTTTCGTTGAATTCTGAATGCTCGAAAATTTGCAAGTTTTGAAATTTAGTAATATGCAAGAAAGTATGTGTTGTTGTAGCACCACTAGTTTTAAATATAATACAACTGCTACTATATTTTAATGCATAATAGAATATTGATATGAATGTTTTACTAAAATATTGGACATTCTCATAATAAACTCTATTAATTAAATGATCTGACTTCTAAAATGAATTCCAAAGATCCCAAGTTACGTACAAATATTAGCCACAATATAAAAATACAGAAATGACAAGCTATTTTCCAGAAACCAGCTGTTTTCATTCGGCCTTATTTTTCGGAACTTTACAAATTGAATGTCAGTTTGAACGCCTCTTAAGAGAAGTTAATCATCTGATTTTTTTGTTTTCTTCTTTCTTCTTTTGTTTGTTGGGATCCATTCTGCATCTGCATTCGAGACTCACGCATGTTTTAATCAATATTTATGACTTCAAAAATTGTATTCTTAGCACTTGTGAAATGTGTTTGATACATAATGAGTTTTTTTTCTATCTATGCTGAAAATCATAACATAACATTGTATATCTTTTGTTTTAGGTAAGTAAGCTGGGAAACCTGAAGCGAAGTGTCATTAGGCAGAATGTGAGTACAAAACGAATGGAATTAAAATCAGTATGAAATTGTTTGAGCATTTCAAATATATCAAATTCATATAATGAATCTTGAAATAAGTGAATGGAATAGTCAACGCGAGTGTTTTGAATGTATATGATTTTGAAGCGAAGCCCTTCTCTTCGATCACTTCCAGCGAAAAGAAAGCTTTCAATCAGATATAGCATATCATGCATTACCGTGATGTAAATACAGTGTTATAAATACCGTGATATATATACATTAAATTTTGTCAACGGATAAGCGAAAATGTATAAATGTTAATAAATGAGTGTAAGTAATTTTGTAGATCATACAATATTCAAGCTTATTATTATGACTCCTTTCCACCTATTTGCCTGTCTTGTATATTACTTATATATTATGAACGAATTAGAGTCCATGTGCATATTAAATGCATATTTATAGACAAACAAATTTTGGAATAATTTATTTTTTGAGACTTATTCCGCAACAGTTTCAGTAATTGTCCCATGATTGTTAATCCTTTTTTACTACATATTTTTGTCATTTTATTTTACAGCCTGATGATAGGGACAACAATCCCGTAAATCTGTTACGAAATAAATGTCGTGAAATAAATTATTATTGTAAGATCTGTCTGTCTATAAATAATCATTTTTGGACCGTAATCTTTCGTAATATATGTATTGTTTGCAGTATCGTATTATAGGATTTATTCATTGCAGCATTCGGGAAAACCTTCCTATTTATTAGAGATTTATAAAACTTTACTGTTATAACATCATACTTCTCTGTATCGAAAGTGGAGGGTCTGATAGTGTTTTTTCGTGCTAGAAAGGGCGAATTTTTCTCTGTCAGGTTATCATTTTTGGTGCAGGTGGGTTTTGGAAACCTTTTTTCCTCTATTTTCGGAAGATTTTATTTTCTCTCCTTTCGCGTCGGCTCTAACCTCCACTTCGATTACCCTATCGCTGCGTCCTCTTCAGCAGGCGGCTGGCCTTTTGGCGCCGCGGCAGGCCCAGACACCGCCCAGGGGCCAGGCCCGGGGCCGGGGCCCGGGCCGGTCGCGTTCGACAGCGACTGCGGCAGCGGCATTGTGCAGCGCGAAGGCCGCCGTCCATTTACGGCCAATGAGCGCTCGTTATGAGTGCAGCGCCAAGGAGCTTGCGTCATGACGCGCCTGGCGGCCCACCGCACGGCGCGGCGGACGCGGCCAGAAGGGTGCGGCCCCGCTCGAGGGCGGGCGGTTTTCAAATTCTGCCATTTTTTAAATTTTTTATTTTATTTTATCTTTCCTTATCCCGTGTTGTCGAGGTCGTTACTGTAGACGTGTTTTGTTGTCCCTAAAATCTCTTTTGAATTCGATATGGTATCGTATCTGCTTGGAGATGCAGTTTGGTGATACGTGTAAACGAAGACTTTACTACAATATTCTCGTGTGCTACTTACATTCCCCTGTTTAGTATATGTATTCACCTCTCTTCTTCTGCCTGCCGGCGGAAAACAATACTACCCTAGAATCACAGGGGAAAATGTGTATATGTGTGGGTAGAGAAGACAGACAACAGTAGGTGTGAGAATACTTAATTTTTGGATGAAAATTAATATTTTCTTAACATTCGAGAATGAGTAGCATAGAGTGGGGATTGAAATTTTGTGTTTTCGGTAGGATATTTCATTATTGTGCTGAGTGAGATATTCTACAAGTATATACGATGTTGATGAAGCTTTTCTCAGTATTAAAATATTTTCTAGCTATCAAAGCCCTGCTGACTTGGAGACCCGTGTGCGTGAGTTAACGACGTACAGGTTATAAGTTGTTTGAGTAAGTGAATACAGGCAGAATTTGGTAAGCTAATAGCGACATCGTTCTCACTTGAAGACTCCTGCAGATGTAACCAAACGCCAAATGTGGAAAACTTTGAAAATTGTGAATGTTGATAAGTATTTGTAGGAGGAAAATGGACAAGATCTTCAATATTTGTAATCTGCATGTTTACATCAAGAACAAAATCTGAAGGTTTTTTAATTTCATTCCGCCGGAAAATAATTCTAGAAAAATTACAAAATGAGGCATGTACACATGTAGTGTAGCTGGATAGCCGAGAATTTATAAAATGAGGCATGATTATAACCATGGGGTGTAGAAAACCAACATCTACAATAATGATGATAATGTTAGCTATGCTGAAAATAACGTCCGAATTTCCGTCCTTCTGAATTTACATATTTGATTTGAATGTTAAAAAAACATATTAAAATCAAAATCAATCAAGTACAGATAACTTACAATATCTAAGGTAGAAAATTGTTGTATTCAAGGGTTTTCAAAAATCTCTTATGGTAAAATGCCGAGAAGAAATATGGTTTTAAAATACACTATTTATGTAAGAAATGTCAAGAGCATATTGGTAGGTCAGTATGAACCACCTGTGTTTCTAGACGAGGCACGTCAAGGGATATCATGCTCATGACTAGGGAACGGAATTTGTTATAATTCAAAAAAAGGAAAATATGTAATATATGTACTTACTTGTTTTTAGTATGTAAAAAGCAAAAGTAAAAAGTAAAATAAAAATTCATTATAGTTGATCATGCCAGTTCATTGTTTAGGCTCAGCGCAGAGGTGTGATTGGTGGAGTGAGGGGGGGGGGGAATGAACTTAAGATTAAGTGTTTATTATAGTTATGATAGTCTGATTTGTCATTTATAGAGGCGTGAATTGATTCTAGTGGGTTCATTACTGTTTTTTTTCGGGTTGTAGAATCTGTTCCTGGAAACCAGGTTCAGATTGGAGAAGATTTTTTTGTTAGAGTTGAAATGCGGGATTGTATCTAGGTGCAATTCTATGAGGCGATACTATGCCATGGAGCGTTAACCGACGTTCGGAGGATTTTTTGGAAATACCTGAATTACTTTTAGGTCTTAATTGTGCAGAACCGCCCCAAATAGAACAAGCGTAGTTAGTGATGGTCAGAATCCGATTTTATGAATACACAAGATTGTCAGTTTGAAGCGCCGATTTACGATTTATTAGAACTCTAGGACAACGACGTGTGTAATCACGCCATTCATATAAGCGTATTGCGCACTCTCACCGGCGACATCTGCACCATGTGGTCTGAGGTAAGCTCTTGCTGCGCCATGTCTGGGATCACAGATGTATTCCTTTGGCCCGATTTAGAATTACTAAAATTATTTAGTGGATTTATGTTTCCATGTCGAAAACGAACAACCACCGGGTTGCACTACACTAGAGCAACCTCATTCGTAGTAATTTTGCACGATGTATCAGATGAAAGGCGATGCTTGGGGCAGGTGTCCGTGTGTGGCGGCTTCCTTTGCGAAACGGTCCTGCCCTCTCGGTTCCCCGTCCATTAGCGACCGCCGCGACGCACCGGCAGGGGCCCTCGATGCGCCGGAGGCCTCAGCCGCGCCGAGGGCGGGGCCCGACGCGCCGGCCCTGGCACGGCGCAGGATCTGCCGCTCGCCCCCTCGTGCGGCATCGCCCGCGCCGCACGCCGCGCCC